ACGCTATTTGTAATAAAAATATGAAATACTAAGGGATAAATCTGATAAACTAAATGAAAATATATATAATATATATTTCATTATATATATATTTCATACGTATATATATGATATATACATATGAAATATATATATGATGAAAACTAAAACCATTGCTGGGAAAAATAACTAAATAAATCGAGAAATTTGCCATCTTCCAAGATTAAGCAACTCAATATTGCTAAGATATCAGCTCTCCCCAAATTAATCTTTTTTTTTTTTTTTTTTTTTTTTTTTTTTTGTCTTTTTCTTTTTTATCGGTACCGGGGATCGAACTCACGACCCGCTGCTTGCAAGGCAGGCACTTATGCCGCTGAGCTAAATCCCCAGCCCCCCCAAATTAATCTTAAGAGTCAAAGTAATCCCAATTAAATTCCGGAAGGCCTTTCTTTGCTCGAGCTGAAGACTGAGCTCCGGACCTCAGGTCCTCAGGCATACAAGGCAAATGCTCCCCTACTAAGCTAGATCCCAAGCCTGGAAGCTTTACTTATTATTGGAGGAACTGAAAGCCAGTTCTAAAATTCTTAAGAAAGTCCAGAGGCCTAGTAATATCCAATAAAATTGTTAAAAAGAACACAGATGGACAACTTATCTACTTGACTTAAAAACCTTTCACAAAGGCACAATAATCAAGACAATGGCATTACTAGACCAATATAAAAGAGCAGGGTCCAGAAATAGGGCCAGACATACAAAGATGAGAAACTCAGTTCTTTTTTTTTTTTTTTTTTTTTTTTAAATAGTGCTGGACCAAAAAAGACATCCCTTTTTTTTTTTTTTAAATAGTGCTGGACCAAAAAAGACATCCCTATGGTAAACTGAATTTCAATCCATATTTCACTATAAACAAAATTAATTCAATGTGGATTTGAGAGATCATATAAAAACCTAAAACTACAAAATTTCTAGAAAAAACAAAGCTGCAAAGTTTGTGGCTTGAGGTTAATCAGTGATCTCTTAGATATAACCAAAAGCACGAACCATACTTGGATATTACCAATAAACACAAACCATGCAAATTTTTGAGGACTTTATGAAAATTAAAACCTTCTGTCCATTGAAAGATTCTGTTAAGATGCGCCTGAGCCTCCCCAAGTCATGCAGGGCCTGGGAGGAGAAACAAGCCAATTCACCCTTCCTGTGAGCCAAGTGGCCCACGGGCTGGGAGACAAGAACACCTCTCCCTGCACCCTCCCCACAGCTCCACTCCCTGTAGGCAACCAGCTGATTAGGAGGACAGGCTGAGTTGACAGCAGCTGAGGTACAAAAACAACTTCATGGTTTTGATGGACTTTGTAGGCCGAAGGCCAACAGTCTGAGCACCTATTAAGAGGATAACAATATGCCATATAGCAACCTGGGGAATTTCTTTTCTGTCTTGCTTTTGAAATCCAATACTGTTCTCATGTGTTTTGTTTTCTTCCATTTTATTGCTTTGTTTTGTTCAGTGTTCTTTTTTGATTGGTTTTATTCTGCTTTGTTTGATTTTATTATGTCCGATAATACAGGCATCAAATTTTGAAGATAACAAGAGGCATCATGGTAGCCACTGTTGATTTCCTGTTATCCTATTTTGAAGTCCTGTATCAATTTCACTGTTATGTTTTGATTGGCTTTATTCTGTTTTATTTTGTTTGGTTTCATTCTCTTTAAAATAAAATTTTTAAGAAAGATTCTGTTAAGAGAATAAAAAAGAACCACAGATTGGGAAAAATACTTGTAAAAGATTAGTATGACAAACGAACTATAAAAGGAAATAAAATAAGAAGCTGGCCGCGCCTCGCTTCGGTGAGGATGTGAAACAGCTGTAACTCTTACATGCTTCTTGTAGGGGTAAATCTTTGAAACTAGTTGACATTTCTTTCAAAGTTAAGAACACATTTTGAAAATTCAACAGCAAAACATCAAATTACTGGATTAAAAACTTCTGTCAAAAGACTTGAATAAGCATTTTACAAAAGAAGACATACAAATGCCTAGGTACATAACAACTCAATCAACAGGGAAGTATGTATTAAAGCAACAATATATCTTGTTCCAGTTAGTATTATCAAAAAATGAAAGATTTCAAATACTGGCAAGGATACTGAGAAGACAGAACTCTTACCAGATTTTTACCACTGTTGGTGGCAGTATAAATTAGTATATCCCCAAAAGAAAACAGTCGGGATGTCTTCAGAAATTTAAAAATATAACTACTGTGATGGTCTAGCAATCCCACTACAGGGTACATAAAGGAAATGAGACTACATGTCAAAGAGACACCAGCATCCCACGTTCAGTGCATCACTCTCAACAGCTGAGACTTTACAAATCCACCTGAAGACCCTTCAGTGGATGAATGGATTTAAATAGTAACGGAGTATTATCCAGCCATAGAGAATCTGTCATCTGCAACCAAATGCGTGAACTGAAGGACATCGTGCTAAGTGAAATATGTCACAGAAACCCAAATAGTAGATGATATTACTAACAGTAGATGATCTTACTTATTAGCAAGAATGGCAATTTGCATTCTGTAAAGTGTCAAATTTACAGAAGCAGAACACAGAATGTGGTTACCCAGGACAAAGTAAGGAGAGGATTGAGTGGATACTGATCAAAGGATAGAAAACTCCAGACAGGCAGAAAAAGGTTAAAGACTCTGCTGTACATCATGGTACCAGTATATGTGAAAACTGCTAGAAGAATAAACTTAAAAGTGTTTCCATCACAAATAAGTCATATTCTGAATATGCTGGCTTGATTTAACCACTCTAAATGCATACTTAACAATTTTTATTTGCCAATAATTTTTGTGATTTTAAAAGTTAACAGTTAAGGGGCTGGAATATAAAAATGCCAGCCTAACCTGCACTAGGCTCTGGGTTCAGTTCTTAGCATCAGGCACAAGTACAAACACAAAAAGCTAACCACACACCTTCTTCATGACTCAATCATTCTACTTGTAGGACATGGACATGGACATTTATGTCTACACAAAGACTTACAGGTGGATGTACACAGCAGCTTTATTTGTAAGACCTCCAAATTGAAAACCACCCCAAACCCATCAACCTATGCATGGACACACAGACTGCGGAGAATTCCAACAATGGAATATGATGATTCTACAATGTAAGAGAATGAAATACGGACGGAGTGACCACGTGGGTGAAATTTAAAGTAATTATTCTCAGAGAAAGAAGCCAGATCTCCTCCTCCAGCCCTGCTCAGAGTTAATTCTGTATGATTCAACTTATGTAAAATTTTAGAAAACAGAAACTAATTTATAGTGACAGGAAGCAGACCAGCAGTCATCCAGGGATGGGGGAAGGACAACAGGAAGGAAGGATTACACAGAGACAAGAGGAACATTTCCGATAAAGAAGACGGTGAATGCTGTCTTCACATTATTACGTTTGCTATTTTGATTACAGGCATGATCTAATAGGACTGTGCGTATGTCAAAGCTTATCAAATCGTACATTTCAAATATGTGCCATTTATGATAATGTCACATCTACTTCAAAAACCTTCTCTGAAACGTAAAATTAGAAAGTAAACTTACCTGTACAGACTAGCATGGAAACTATCCATTACAGATATTTAGGGTTTTTAAAAAGCTGTGGAATTACATATACCTACAGATCTCATGACCCCACCTGTGTAGAATGCATGCTTACACTGAATGCACGGTGTGAGTTTGTTTTTGAAACACTGACTTCAGTAAAAAACACATTGCCATTAACTCCACTCCAAACCCTTCCCCTCTGCTTCGAACACATTCTGTTCTACCTGGAGCTGTTGAGCCCGCTTTCGTGCCTTTAGTTACGCTTTTGTGGCTGCCTCAGTGTCTTGAATTCATTCCCAATGTTGACCTTTCCCTTGACCTTGGGGAAGGGCCAGGAGTCCCATGCTGTCAGGCCCACTAAGTAAAGTGGACAGGGATGCCCTGCATGCTTTTCTGAGTCTGCTCTTCCTTTGGACGGCACTCCGCAGCAGCGTTCACAGTATTTTTGATCGTCCCTCATGAAGACACTCATGTGAGAGAACTATCGCGACTGCTTCAGAAAGGATCAAGCATGAGACAAGTGTGCTCACAGTGAGGGAACCTCTGAGTGGGACAGGGGACAGTGTTTCTTTTACTGTAATGAATTCCTTTATTCAAATGCTGCCGTACACTTTAATGACCCCATATATACACGTGCACTCACACACATGCATGTACACACATGCACACACACACACACACACACAAAGTCTAAGGAAATCTATGTGAATCCATACAGTCTGTGAACAGAACAATATAGAGAGCTGTTTGTCTTATCTATTCCTATACTGTTTCAACTTTGTATAGCAAATATGCATTACTTCTGAAATTTAAAAATACAAATAGAAGTTTAAAACTAACTGGCAGGTCTAAAAGCTCACGGGCAGGACGAACCTGAAGGTACAAGCCCGAATGACTTGCTTCACTCATGCTGTTGTGTTCGGAGACAAATCAAGGGCACATACACCAAGTTCGCCAGGACCTACCAAACTCGGATCTCTTCTCTCTCCTCACGCCTCGTGGGAAATCACTGCTTCTATCAGCCACCAAAAAAAGAGGCAGCCACCTGTCCGTTTGTCAGGTATTCTGAGGCACAAAAATACCAACGGCTTTAAAAGTCCAACAGTTGAGCCAGGCATAGTGGCACCTGCCTGCAACTCCAGCACTCGGAGGGTGAGGCAGGAGGATCCCTGCAAGTTTGAGGCCAGCCAGGGCGCTGCAGTGAGCTCAAGGTCAGCCTAAACTACAGAGAGAGACCTTGTCTCAAAAAAATAGAAACAAAAACAAAAACAAAGCAAAGCAAAGCAAAACAAAACAAAAACACCCCAACCAATGGTTTTTCCCTGCAATTTGCTTTGGGGATAAGAAACATAAAAAGCTACAGAGACAGTCTGGCAGGGTTCTGAGCCTGCCACCCGGCCATCAGTACCTTGGATGATTTTCTGCTGCTGCTGCCGGAGTTCATCAAATCCCAAGCCTCTGGTCTCCTCCGGCTCCTCAAAGAGCCAAGGGTTGGGGGCTCCTCGCTTAGCCTCCTCCCTCATCAGGCTGGACCTACGAACAACACAAATGCATTACACAACTCAAAAACTACAGCGTGGCTGCAGTCTTCCCAGGAGTGCTGGGACGGGCGGCCTCACAAGCTTGGAAAACTCAATCTGCACAATTTATTGCACCCTTGGTTTATGCCAGGAACTGTGTGTGGTGCTGTAAGGGATACGAGGCTGCATAACACAAACCTAGGCCCCAAGGGTGCAGCCTGTGAAAGCGATCACGGCAGGACACAGAACCCGGACCACTCCTCCAGGATATATTTGGTCCGATAACCACAGAAGAGTGAGGGAATGCGGCTCTTTAAATTCCAAAAGCACAAAGCCCACTGGAAGGAGGCTTTTCATTCCATCTAAGTTTGTCTCACCGGCTGTGGGACACCAAAGGCACAGATATTATTTCTGGAGCAGATATAATGTTCTGGTTATAAATTGCAGCGCAAAGAAAAGGCCAAATAATTTTGCATTAAAGAGCGCTTGGTTCAAAATGTTCCATGCTTGTACGAAAATACCACACTGAAACCCAGTATTTCATAAAATTAATAGGAACATTTTAAAGGATATTTGGTTTCTCACAGACAGAAACACATACAATTTCAAGCCCAATTTTGCGAACATAACGAAGCATTCACAACACAATCGACACGTTGGAAGGATCGATCTTAATCGCACTCCTCCTAGTATGTGCTCCTTTTGCACCAGAAGTACCGATCTTGTTGTGCAAGAAACACCTCACTCTGCTTACAGGATTCCTCGTCTCAGGTCCCTCCTCTCCTGCCCCAAGCTGTCCACATCCTGTCCAGCCTAGAAGGGTCGTGTCTTCCAGGAAACCATTTCTGACGACTTCAACACAGAAATGAGCGTGCATTTTACAGCTCTCATGAGCTACACAGAGACGCTGGTAAGATCACGTGCAGTACTCGTGCTAGCAGGAGTAGGTACCAGAGACTAAGCGCTAGCTACGTGCAGGCAGGCTCCAGGGGCTTGACGAGATTCTCTCATTTCTCCATCAGTTACGAGATTCTCTCATTTCTCCATCAGTTACAAGATTCTCTCATTTCTCCATCAGTTACAAGATTCTCTCATTTCTCCATCAGTTACGATTCTCTGTCAGTCTCTCCTACTGCCTCAAAGTAGCTGCTGCCCTGCCTGAGCTCTAACGCAGATCAGCTTCCTGTCCATGAGAAAGCTCAAACTGGAACTCGCCCTTTGCTGCACCGCATTGTTCCCCAACATGAAGTAAACAGCTAACAGCCTATCACCCTCCAAGGACAGATGACTGCTAAGAAATCTCAGAGGGCTCCTGGGATTAAGTGCACCATTCACTCAGTAAAAAAGAAATCTACTCAGCACAAGTTAGGTGGTAGGCACTGTCCTAAGAGTCCAATCAATGGGATAGAGAGAAACTGGACAGCAGACAGACACACCACAGCCTCTGTCCTGACGAGCCACAGAGTCCGGGTACAGGTGCCGTGTTTATTCTGGTGTGAGAAGTGGGACTCATGACATGTAACATGGTCCAGTAGTGCTTGGGAAAGAAGTAATCATTCAATAAATTAACTATCATCATTATATCAATTATTGCTTTGCATACAGAAGAGGCACTGAAGAATTACTGTTTAATACCTCAAATAGCTAATGTGAATTTCATGTTTAGTTCAGCACTTTGTACCCAGTAAAAGAATGTAACATGTATCAAGAAACAGGCCCAGGCCAACCGAGAAGAGGCTGTGATTCCTTGGGCTGATTTTAAGCACAGAGGCCGTCTGCTTCATGCAAGTGCACCAATTAACATGCAAACACCATGTGTGTTTTTCTTCCAGTTTACGAAAAAGACAGATGTGTTCTTTAAAACCTTACTTCCCATGACTGGCCCCCAGAAGTTAAGATGTCAAGACTCTGGATTTATTCCATGTAATAATCGTTCAATTTCACCAAGCTTGGAAGCTAAGGGAAAAGCAAAGAGAAAAGAAGAAAGGAAGGAAATTTGGGGGGAAAAGGGGAAATTTACAATCAAAGTGAACCTCTCAGCTTTTAAACCATCTTGTAATGCCAACTTTTGTCAACACAGAAATCACACGGGGCTCCCTGCAAAAGTCTGGATCAGAGACACCATGAAGTCACCTCAAAGGGGCGTCGTGACCAGCCGTGAGCACCCAAACAAATGAGGATACCGCAGCTGGCGGACCGGTCCTCAGAGTTAGAGCTGGCATGTCCGCTGCTGGCTGCTGGGCCACTTAGAATACACTGTTAAAAATTAGTATCGGTGGACTGGAAGAGTAGCTTAGTGAGAACAATTTAACCCATCCATTCATCCATCCATCCATCCATCCATCCATCCATTCAGAACACCATCTACTCAGCTCAGCACAAGTGAAGTCATGACATCAATCTTACACAAAAGCTAATATTTAAGGGAGAAAAATGTGAATCTGTTTCTTAGTGGTGCTAGAGACTGAGCCCAAGGCCTCATGCACGCCGGGCAAGCACTCTACAGATGAGCTACATCCTCAGCCTTAAATGTAAAAATTTTTTAGCAATTTCAAAAAAATGACACATTAGCTTTTCAGCTGTGTCAGTGTGTGGAATATTTTAAACTACCTATCAGAGCATAAAAGTGACAACATAGGCACAATGTAATATACTACTAAACACAACACTGGAAAATGCACCGGAAAGATTTTGCAGGGTTATCTGTTCTTAATGCCAAACTGCCCCCCACCCTGTTTTGTGTTTTCTATTTTGCTGATGTTCCAAATCTCTGGAAAATCTGGCCATGGATGTGCTTCCCTACTTAGCAAGCGAGGTGATGTTAAGATCACAGGTGTCCCCTATATAGGGGCCATTTTCTCTTTATTAGCTTTTATGCTCAGCTTAACATTTGGAGTGGTTCATTATACACAGTGGCACCTAGAAAGACTGAGCATCTGGGGTAGGAAGAGAAGCAGCACATGCAGAGCTAGGAGAGGGCCCTACATAAAGATGCAGACAAGGTCCGTCCTCAGCCCCTCACTCTGCTTGGAAATCACCGTGCAGAAGATGCACCAAGTGCCTCTACTCACGCCATCTTCCTGCAGGCACTCTGACTGCATCTGCACCCTCTCAGGAGTAATCGCCAACTCCTGCTCCTCTCCAGACCCCGCCTGTCCAAAGTCAAGCTCACTATTTCCACTGCCAAAGCTTTTTCTTCTCCTATGCTCTCCGTTCTGGTAAGTCACCTATGTGATCTCTGTTTCCTCATGCCCTTCTGGGAGCAAGGCCTCCCTCAGAGAGGCTTCCCAAGCCCACATCGGTCACCTCCAGCCCCGCTGGAACCATCCTGGCCGAGACCCTCATCTTCTATGCGGGTCCTGGCCGTGGTCTTCCGACTGGACTCCTTGTCCCGTCACCTGTGTCCAAATCATCTTATATTCTGCTACCAGAACTCACTCACTCTCTCTCTCTTTCTCTCTCTCTCTCTCTCTCTCTCTCTCTCTCTCTCTCTCTCTCTGAGATCCCACCTTGTCATTTTCCTATTTCAACACGTCCATGGTGCCAAGAAGCTCCAGGGTGAGCAGAATGTGTACAAGATGGCCCCGTGATCTCTGCGACACCATGCCCCCTTCCACCCGGCTTCTCCTTTAGCCCTACACCCCGCCGACCACCACTCAGACAAAGGCACAAACTTTGGCACTCTCATGTTTTTGCATGAGTCTGAAGTGTCCCCACCCCCAGCCCTTTGTCCATCTGCCAAAATTCTATTCATTCCCTGAGGCTCCACTCAAATGTCACTTCTGCTGCTTAGCCCTTCCTGATCCCCACCCCAACCCCTTCCCCCAAATCCATCACTGGGGGGTGCTCCCAGGGCTCTCCGTGCACAACCTCGAACGTGGCATTTATCAGGCAGGATTGCAGTCAGTTATTTACTCATCTGTCTCCTTTCCTGAATTATGAGCTCTGAGAGGAAAGGAGCCGCATGACAGCCTGTTTATCTCGCTGGCACCAAAATGACACAGCCTCGGTACACACCAGAGAAGCAGCGCTCGGGAAGTGACGACCAAACAGAACCAGGAAAACCACCAAGGGTTTTAAGCCAGAGAGCCGTATTTAACATTTCATTTTGAGAGATTAAAAAAAGAAAACACTTCCATCAATTGCTGACTACCTTTAAGACGTTAGCAGCAAAAGCTGATGCTGTTCAAGCAGATGGAGAGAACTAGCCTAAAAGATCCTGTTGGTAAAGTACCTTGTAGCTCAGCTTCACCTCTGGAATGACAAGCAAGGACATTCCCGCTTTGCAAAGCCACGCTGAGGAAAGGAAAGGCAGTCCTAACCACCACGCGGAGTTTAGACTTGTTTTTTTCTTTTTGGGTGTGTGTCAGGTGAGCGTTGTGCTGAGGACCGAATCCAGGAACTCACACGTGCTGGGCGAGCTTCACACCACTGAGCTACACTGGGCTCTCACTGTGTTACCCAGGCTGGCCTCAAGCGGCTCTCCTGCCTCAGCCTCCTGAGTGGCTGGGCATACAGGCCCGTCCCTTTGTGCCTGCCTCCTGTTTACAAAGAAAAAAAATCAATGATTTATATCCTTTTAGTTACATCCTCAAGATAGAATAAATAGAACTCATCAAACAAATTCATATTAATAAGTATGTTAGTATCTGTCTTATCTAGATTTTACCCAAAGGTTTCATAGTCACTCCTAAGCAATAAAGTGATTTCATTTTTAGAAAATTATTAAATTATAATCATATGGGGGCATCAGTCTCTCTGCTGACAAATGACATTTGTTTGAGTTCAGAGGGAACATATTCAACTGTATGAACTGAATACAGAACTGAAAAGCCAGTTAATTCCAAGAAGCAGCTTTTCTTAGTGTTTCAGAAAGATATCAGAGTGACCATATGGATGTTTGTTTTGTCTGAGAAAAGTATCAGGGTTTGAGCGTTCACAGACCACAGGAGGCCAGCAGCCAGGACTGGCAGGCTGTTTCTAACTGAGCTGCAGAGATTCATAGCTAGTCCT